GAATTATTTAGCATTCTTTTAATAAGGTGTAAGCACAATTATTACAAATCATTACAATTAATTGTAATTGTTGGCAATTGTATATTCTGTTTCATGTATGTCATCCGATTGATAACCAAAATGTATTTTGGCCTTACTGACTCTTAAGTTAATTAAATATGCTAGATGTGTAATAAGCCTGTTCATTAATCATAGTTACTAAGTAATTTTTTTGTACAGTAGAGCCTCGATTATCCGACCCCCGATTAACCGCCACCTCGGTTAACCGACCGTCCTAGTCGGCAAATTTCAAATGTCCGCTAGTGATGTGGCGCTACAATATTTGGCTATGTCTCGGCTACTTTAATATTATTTTTACGTGTTTTAGCTGGCAACACTCATTCGACCTTGAAAGGGAGCCAGTATTTAAACGAGGCTTAATTTTCTAATTTTTAACGATACAATAGCGACAATTATTATTTTAAAAAGTTTTTGTTTGTTTAACATCGATGAAAATTCAACGCGAAGTAGGTTAATAGCGATATACTAATATACTACACTAATAATGGATTTTTTCATACTTTTCGGTTATCCGACTTTTCAATTATCCGACCAACCCCAGTCCCCAATTGGGTCGGATAATCGAGGCTCTACTGTAATGGATTTTTTCATACTTTTCGGTTATCCGACTTTTCAATTATCCGACCAACCCCAGTCCCAATTGGGTCGGATAATCGAGGCTCTACTGTAATTGAATAATACTGGAAAGAAGCTTTTTAATACATTTTATGCTGTTTGATAGATTTTCCCAGACTTTGTAGATCTCTCCATTCTCTAGTCTTACTTAAATATTTGGTTAATTGTGTCCAGGCAGAAATGAAATTTGTCACCAAAGATGATCTGTCATTCCAAAACCATCTATGTTTGATGGTTGTAACTCCACTGTACGGGTGTGTTAGGTAATCAGCATGAGGGGCATTATCAATGCAGTTCTGCCTCTGTTTCTCACCTCGCAATTATGCAGGATAATACCTAGTTCTTGATATATGCCTCTATCTGTTTCTAGATGGTGGAAGGAGAAGCTGTTAACTTTCTCTTGGGATAGTTTGTTGATCAGATCATTCCCAGCATATGTCTCTCTCTTCCTATGGCCACTGTTGCTAACAACCTCTGAAGTCTGTTCAAGATGGCTTCACATTTAGTGAAATGTCCATCCTATTCCCCCAATCTAATGATGCAATCCCCCTCAAACTCGAATATTTGTACCATCTTTGTACCACCTTTAAATGAATCATATATGAATCATATATGGTGTTCAAAGACCTCCAAACAAAGGTACATTGAAAATACTGAATACATTGAACCTCTAAGAGTCTTTTTACATAGTACTGGGTTAGCAATATGATAAGACATTTTGTTGGCAATACCCAATGTTCGTTTGTAGCTTAATGGTAATCATTTGCATACCTATCTGAAACATGGCTGTATGTCAACTTCTGCAGTAACTGGACAATTTATTTTTGATGCACAAATTTTTGTCAAAGAGAGTATATTTTATATTTGTCATCAATCTGAGAGAGAAATTATCACAGTTAAGTAATTTAAAACCAAAGAAGGTGACTAATTTCAAAATTACTATCAATATTTTAGTATAAAACTCGGAGGTAATTAATATAAAAAATAATCATCTGTAAGAGTAGCTAAAATAAAATTTTCATCATAGATCAAGGAAGGATACATAAGAATTACAAATCCAAAGAATATTCAGCATATTCTTTGGATTTGTAATGGAACAAATAATGTCTTTCATTATAGTAAAATTTAAGTGTAAAAGTAAAAAATAAAATAACACCAAAATGTTTCCTTTACATCTTTAACATCAAGGATGACAGCATTTATTGAAGTTACAAAGAGACAAGAAGATTGATGTGAACATTTCTTTATAAAAAATTTAGAATAGTGTAGTAGTATGAACAGACATCAAATGTGGCAGAAGCAGAGAGAATAATGAATGTCAAAATGTTGTTTTTTAAAACATTCTGAAGTTCAAACAAACAAATTTTAATTTTACTTTTACTTTATGTCAATAGAGAGGGCTTAAGCACAAGTATCCTCCACAAATCTGCCCCTAGTTGCATCCACTTTCATACTGACATTGATTACCGATAAACTGTATTTACTATCGTAAATGTTTAAGAAGTAATAAGGAGAGACGGTGGTCTGTCGGCATCTTTTTGACTTTATTAAAGTCAAAAAGATTCCTGTTGCCTCTTATTATTATTTCTTATGCACCGTATGCCAAAAATTACCTAAGTTGTTTTTGGTAAATGTGATAAACAATAGAAATAGATTTTTCAATTATAAAATTTATAAAGCAATAAGAGCAGATTATAAATAAAATAGTTTGTAGCATAACTGGAGCCAAAGCCATGATTAAGACTCTGCTCCAAAAATCTAATATCTGTTGTTATTAAGTTAAAGAATGAAACATGAAATTGTAAACTAAGGCATAATTTAGGAGTTTGGTGTTAGGCTTAAAGAACACAAGTATAATATCAAGAAAGGATGCAACACTACAGTACTTATGTAAATCTCTATAGTGAAATAGGATGAAGCTGATATTGTTAAACCCTTGTGCTTCCCAGCATTAGCAATGAGTGCTGAGAAAATTGAAATTTATAGAAGCAAACTAGAGGATGCATGCATCAATGCAAGGGATGCCAAAGGTTTACCATCTGCATGGAAGGAAATGCATAATTAAAAAGTTTTCTATGAACTCCTAAATTATGCCATAATAGTTTTTTATTACTATTTATTTAAGGTATTATTACTGGAGTTTTATTATTATACATGTATAATTTTTTGTATTTATTTATGTAATTCTATTTTGGAACATCGATGTTCTAATCTCATTTAACCTGAAGATGGACTATTGAAAGAGCTGAAAACATAAGTTTAGTTTCAATAAATTATCTTGGCAACTTAATTAGTAGATCATCAAAATACACCTTGTTTGCTGAGTGCATTTTGGTAATTGGATTTGAGATGATAAATTAATTTGCTACAACTTCAATCAAAATAAACATAATTTTTATAAACAGAAAGTGAAATTACACACACACACACACATAGACATTATATTGGGCATAAATCTAAACATGTCAGATTATTTTGGTTATATAATATGTATATATATACGTGTGTGTTTATTTTTAGGATTTGATACATTCAAAGAAGAATTAGGATCGTCCAGAGATGCTTCCTTAAGAAGAGAAGTTTCTCTCGACGTTTCTTACGACGAACAAGATTTGATAAAGGTGATCATTAATTATTGTTTGTTTTTAATTTGTATTTTAATTGAATATAACAAATAATATTATACAAATGTTTTATAAACAAGTTTTGTTTACAAAACTCATAAGTCAAAAACTTTTCTGATTTTGTAATCTTATAAACAAGTGCTAAATTACTAACGAATTGTTATTATTTATTCTTTTCAATTTATATGATATTTATTTGATTCTTGTTTAAAATTTTCTAAAAGCTCTGATGTACCAAAGCTCTATATTTTTTACGTTTTTGTAATCTTTATTATGATGGCAAACGTATTTGACTTCTTACAAATTGCAAAATTCAAACTTCCAGAACTGCTTAAATAATACAAATGAAGTCAGAAATTTATGCATTTCCACAATTTCTCAGCTTGTCTTCAGATCACTGTTACAAACATGGTCATAATATAACTTTTTTGTAATGATCTGACAAAACTGTTGAATTCAATATAAAATATAACAATTTTTATTAGAATATTTTGCTGTTGTAGTTAGTACAGCATGAACAAGAACATTTCCATAAAGCTAATTTAATTATGTTCATGATATCTTGTCATAATTGGGCTTGGTTCCATCCATTAGTACAAAGATTCTAAATTAATTAGCCGCACAATTTTAGCATTTATATTGAGATTACGGGATGATCTCAAATTTATATTGTTTATAACCACTTAGAATTGCAATAATTATCGACAAGGTCTCATTGAGAAAGATGTTTTATTTAATAACATACTTCTCTTTGTGCACCTTGCTTTGTTTCACCATAATTGTTATTGATAACTATCACTCATTAAGTATAAATTAATATAGAGTGTTATTACATGGCACATATCCTATATAGCAGGCCTGGCCAGCCCAAATTGTTTCGTGGGCCACAATTTAGGCAAACATGCTTTTAAAAAAGTAAAACAAATACAAAATGAATAAGATTTCATTGTTATACCAAGAGTTTGTACTCTCCCTTGCACATTATAACAATGACACATGCAAATTTTCATTTATTTAATTATTTTTGTATATATGTTATGGACAAAGTGATAAATCAGGCATTATTCATGATGACAGGCATTATGAATAATGACCAAATAGGGTGCGCAGTGTGATAAATATTGATTCATTTATCAAATTGACCGGTCATTATGAATACTGCTATCACCTAGTCGGGCAAAGTGATGATAATAAGTTGAGGAGTGATCATCCGACATATGCTAGCCGATCGGCGCACTGAGTTGCGTGTGCATATCGTGTTTAGTACAGAATTTTAAATTTGATTTAAAAAACTCTATTTATTTCATTTAGAAATATTTATGTTTTGTAAATTATNGTTTTGGGCCTCCATCTGTGTTCTGATTGGCATCGGGCTTATATCCAGATGCAATTTGAGAGTGAAAGACTGCGGGAGGTCGTGATCACCAGTTAAGACAATGCCAAAATTCACAATTAACCCGAGACGGACTATCTTGGGACTTTACATTGTTTATGAATTCTTCCTTGATCATGTTTAACTTAAAATTCTTCTGTCCCTTTTTCTCCGTTCTTTTTAATTAAAATGTTAAATTTTGACTAATTTAGTGATATTCAGGCTATATCTGGATATCACTAAACAACACTTCATAGTACCAAGATAATGATTTTTCATATTCAGAAATTCCATTTATTTTAAATATACATATAACTTTTTTTATTTAGGTTTTACAAAACAAACCACAATATTTAGAGTTTGCTGGAAATTTGGTACCTATAACAAAATCTGGAGACCAATTATTTCTGACATTCCATGCATTTAGGGAAAATAGGCTTCCATTCTCGATTCGTATCAAAGATCCACTTCAAGAACCAATGGGACGTATTGCATTCATGAAAGAACCAAAAGTGGGAAGGGGCGAACCTCAACCGGTTCCAATCTGTAATTTGAACATAGCACTTCCAGAAGTATGCAAGGTATTTTAAATTTAATTATTTTATTTTATAATTATCAACTGGGTCAAAGTTTTGTGCAAATCAAACCAACCTTCAAGTCTTTTTAGTGCCACTATATCTGATTTATCATTTTCTTAGGAACGAAATAAACTGGGCTTTCTGTCTTCAATAGTGTAGACCGGGGACCTTTTTGCATTCACATGCCATGTATTGAGCATACAAATCTTTAAAAATGTTTATGCATGCCAAAGTTCTGTACTTCAAATAACTACATTTAAATAAATGAATATGCTTTAATTAGCATAAATATAAATAAGCCGATTGAAAAAGGATGATAGTATGATAAACTGAAATGTTGATTGAAAAAACAGGTAATAAAATCATATGATAGATTACATGCCAGATGATTTCTCCAATGTGCCACTTTGGGCACGTGTGCCACAGGTTTGCTATCCTGGTGTAGAATTTCCTGACACCATTTTAATGAATAAAAACACCTTGATAAAAAACCTCAAATCTTGGTCTATCAAAATGTTTGAATTAAGTCAACAGGTTCTTTGTCACTGCTAGATGGCAGTCAAATTATTTTTCTTGCTACTTTTGATCAATCCTGTATTAAATATTGTTCTGATTGTTCAAATGTTTTTATTATAAAATTACTAAGCTCATATTAATTTATTGTTAGATATCAGTTATCATTTGAAATACTATCATTTAACAATTCAGTTATTTATATTATCAGACAATTTAATTAAACATTAACTGACATTATAAAATTTCTTAATATTTTTACTAGAAAATTTTAAACTCCTTTAAAAGTTTTTAATATCTAATTTGAAAAAATAAACTATCTAATAGCAATAATCATTTCAGATGGATAATATATCAGAATTGGTAACATTAGAAAAGAAATACTGTTTTGTACAAGAAACTGGTTTAGGTAAGAATTATTTTTAAATTAATAATTTAGAAAAAATACCTTATAAAATTGTTTTATTTATTCTGTATATCAGACAAAATATTTTCAACAAAATTATTACTTTTTAAAAGTTGTGGCAATTTATCAAATCAATGCAACCCCACAAATACTTTTAAAATCCGGTCCGATGTTTAATCGGACGACGAGAAATTAAATGTTGGAGTGGATTTTAAAATTATTTGTGGTGTTATAGTGATTATGGTAGCCTCTCAAAGCCGGTTATCTAATTTTTCAAACAATAATTTTGAAGAACTATTTCTGTAGTTCTTCAAAATTATTGTTTGAAAAATTAAGATATGAATTCTATCCAGATTTATCTCAATTTCATATCAAATACAGATCACTTATTAGGAATAAGTTATATTAATAAAACAAAATTAATATAAACAAATTATTCTATACACATTTTGCCACATTTGGTTACCTTAGAGGTCATAAAGATCAATTTCTGTAGTCTGGCAATGGCCAGATCTCAAGGTTTTGCATTAAGGAGGTTTGACCTGTATTAATAAAATAATGGATGACTAGACGTGTACTCTCAAAAAATGTTAAATGTAATTAATTATTAGACTCCTTAAACCTATTAGCATAGTAGATTGTTTAATTTTGTACAAATGGAGTTGACTATTGTATGGAGATAAAAATTTATTAGAATTAACTTTATAGTTGATACTAATTACATGATACAGGAAGGTAATCTTTTCTATTCCATTTTGTATTACTGTATAATATATATATATCTGTTGAAATTATTTATTGTAAAAATTACTAAATAATAATCTGAGTAAGTATTCAAGTTTTTTGCATTTTATATAATAATTTTTGTTCATATAAAGGAATTATTTTTACTTTAAATATATGGGATAAAATTTTAGTGGTTAAGAACAGATAGGAAGATAGGAAGAGTTTAAAAAAATAAAGTTGTAATTTAAGTGTCACATTGAATTGATATTATAGTTTGAGATTATTAAATTTCATAATTCTGATAAACATTCAAGTAAAACCAAATTTTTTATTTTTATAAAACTACATAAAAAATATGTTTCATTTAATTGAATAAATACATTAATGATGAAAAATTCATCCGAAAAACATTGTCTATTATTAATTTTTTTTATAGCGAAACCTGAACTCATCCACCGAGCAGACTTGCGACTCTCTGATATTGCGCGAGAACTCGACGGCGACTGGGAAATTTTAGCGCTGCAACTCGATATTTCGGAGACGGAAATTAACTCTATTAAATCGGATTACCCGGACGACGACAGACAACAGGCATTAATAATGCTTAGGCAATGGATGCAAAAATCGGGACCTAAAGCTACAGGTAAGAGATGTTTGAAAATTTAAATTTTGTATAACATTTTATTAACATTTCTCAATTTTGTGTTTGATATATATTATATCATATTCAGAATGTCAGACAATTTGCTTTTAACAATTACATATTTGGTTATTTGGTTACAGATCTTATAAAATATTCTACTTGAGGACAACACTACTTACATATTCATTTATTTATTTTGGATTTTATGCAGATAGCATAAGAAATTGTTAATTTTATAGATACTTATTTACAAAATTATATCAAAGTGAAATATCACTGACTGACTATATATACAGGAATCAGATGCTGATATTTGGAGGTTGATATCTACATCACTGAAAAGCCTATAGTAATTCTGAATATCTCATTTGAAAGATAGTTATTTTCTTAGTTAGTATGTAAAGTTTCAAGTTTTTCTATAAAGGGGTTGCCAAAATGTTGTATTTTGTTTTTTTCTTTATCTGATACTGCAGGCACTCCTAGAAAAAATTAGTGGGTCTAGAAAACTCAAATTTTCTTGTTATCTGTGAGGTACCAGCCAAACTTCCAGGTCGATAGGTTAAAGTTCATGGGTGTTCCCCGTAGAGCTATTTTATTTTTATGCCAATTATAACTTTTTATAACGATTTTATTAATGGCATATTGAAAGTGCTCGGTTGGTAGCCGTCGCATTGCCGAGTGCCAACCGAACTATACGGTATGTCATCATCTTGGTGTCACACAATCATTAGCAAAAAAAAAATTGATATCCAAACAAAAACATCTGAGATGTAAAAACACTTATGACAATTTGGTCATCCAAATTGTCATATGTGTTTTGTTTGGTTTTATGTTTGTTTGTTTGGTTATATGAAGACACTAAACACACCTTACGCATTTTTCAATTAACTAAACTTAAAGGTATGTTTAGTGTCTTTCATGTACTGGTGAAATTCCAGCTTCAACTATTATTGATGCAAAACTGTCTGATTAACTTTAGCTGAATGGACACAAGATTACTAGTAAAACAGTAAACAAATGAATACAAAAAGACTTTTTTGTATGGATGCAAAAAAGTTACACAACAAAGAAATTGTCAAAATTGTTTTTAGTAATTTGTAAAGACTTAAATTTCTTTTTTATATCTTCAGACGTTTCTTTTCTTTTCATCAAAATTAATATATAATAAGACTGATATAAGAGTAATAGTGCAAAATTATGAAATTCTTAGTTTTCAGAGCCATTTTATGATTCTAAAAATAATTTTAGTAAATTTCATTCAATTTTAAAGATTGGATTATTTCAAAAATCAAAAACAACATACTGTAAATAACCTAAAAAATCAAAATTATTAGCAAAACATTTTAATCTTAATACTCAAATAAGGCATTTATTATGACTTACTTTATCCAAACTACATTTTTAAATTTTGCTTTCAGCAAAAACCAATTTATTTTCATATAAAGTTAAATTAACATCAATTTCAGGCAATGATTATTTTTTGGATTTAAGTTCACTTATGAATCAGTGTAAGATAATTTGATGACTGCCATTAGAAATATTGTTTTGTTTTGATGTACTTTAATTCATCTTTATTTTTAAAATTTTACAATAAATTACTAACAATTGCTTACTTTGTCACTTATTATTCAATTTTTATAACATGTATGTCTGATTGCATATTCATTGTACACTGTATTATTATATTATTTAACCAAATAATATTTTTCAAGGATTAATAAATTAATTTAATAATTATAACACCAGATAATTCAGTATAAAAAATTATCTTATCATGTATGAAATAAAAATATTTGTTCTTAGGTAATAGTTTGGAAAAGGCATTGAGAAAAATCAAGAGAGACGACATAGTAAAGCAATGTATGTTCAACGTCGAATTAGTCACGGATGCCGTCGAAAAAGCGGTTGCCAAAGTTCATTTAGACCAATCTGGTAAAATATTCATTATATTAATAATTAGTTAGTTATTTATAAATATTCTTATCTACACTAATTTTTTGTTGAACTAGTATTATTAAAGACTTATTATACTCTGTATTGTTATGTTAAAAGTATTCAAATTCTCTCTCAACTTTTTTAAGAATAATAAGATTCTTAAATGAAAAATTTTATCCTGTGATTGGCAAGGAGTACAAATAAAATAATTCACACTGTTGGCAGATAATTTTAAAACAAGAACATTATATTTCACTTCACATATACGATAGTAATAAGAACAGAAATTATTGGTTACAATACCACGGCAAACATGTTTAATTAGGAATAACTGTGCAATTTAGTTACTGTTACAATAGTCTCGGTATCAATAGCACCTCTTCTTGCACCGAACACCGAAACATGCAGAGATAGTCTGGTCATAAACACATTTTATGCTTACAAAAACTACTTAGTTACTATGACTAATGAACAGACTTTTACACACCCAGCCTATTTAATTAACTTAACCAAAATGCAATATCCAAAATATCCAACAAATGTGGCGGAGACAGAATAGAAAATTACCACAACCGTAAAAAAGACAGAAGGGCTATTCACAAGATTTTTACTGGAATTATTTAGCATTCTTTTAATAAGGTGTAAGCACAATTATTACAAATCATTACAATTAATTGTAATTGTTGGCAATTGTATATTCTGTTTCATGTATGTCATCCGATTGATAACCAAAATGTATTTTGGCCTTACTGACTCTTAAGTTAATTAAATATGCTAGATGTGTAATAAGCCTGTTCATTAATCATAGTTACTAAGTAATTTTTTTGTACAGTAGAGCCTCGATTATCCGACCCCCGATTAACCGCCACCTCGGTTAACCGACCGTCCTAGTCGGCAAATTTCAAATGTCCGCTAGTGATGTGGCGCTACAATATTTGGCTATGTCTCGGCTACTTTAATATTATTTTTACGTGTTTTAGCTGGCAACACTCATTCGACCTTGAAAGGGAGCCAGTATTTAAACGAGGCTTAATTTTCTAATTTTTAACGATACAATAGCGACAATTATTATTTTAAAAAGTTTTTGTTTGTTTAACATCGATGAAAATTCAACGCGAAGTAGGTTAATAGCGATATACTAATATACTACACTAATAATGGATTTTTTCATACTTTTCGGTTATCCGACTTTTCAATTATCCGACCAACCCCAGTCCCAATTGGGTCGGATAATCGAGGCTCTACTGTAATTGAATAATACTGGAAAGAAGCTTTTTAATACATTTTATGCTGTTTGATAGATTTTCCCAGACTTTGTAGATCTCTCCATTCTCTAGTCTTACTTAAATATTTGGTTAATTGTGTCCAGGCAGAAATGAAATTTGTCACCAAAGATGATCTGTCATTCCAAAACCATCTATGTTTGATGGTTGTAACTCCACTGTACGGGTGTGTTAGGTAATCAGCATGAGGGGCATTATCAATGCAGTTCTGCCTCTGTTTCTCACCTCGCAATTATGCAGGATAATACCTAGTTCTTGATATATGCCTCTATCTGTTTCTAGATGGTGGAAGGAGAAGCTGTTAACTTTCTCTTGGGATAGTTTGTTGATCAGATCATTCCCAGCATATGTCTCTCTCTTCCTATGGCCACTGTTGCTAACAACCTCTGAAGTCTGTTCAAGATGGCTTCACATTTAGTGAAATGTCCATCCTATTCCCCCAATCTAATGATGCAATCCCCCTCAAACTCGAATATTTGTACCATCTTTGTACCACCTTTAAATGAATCATATATGAATCATATATGGTGTTCAAAGACCTCCAAACAAAGGTACATTGAAAATACTGAATACATTGAACCTCTAAGAGTCTTTTTACATAGTACTGGGTTAGCAATATGATAAGACATTTTGTTGGCAATACCCAATGTTCGTTTGTAGCTTAATGGTAATCATTTGCATACCTATCTGAAACATGGCTGTATGTCAACTTCTGCAGTAACTGGACAATTTATTTTTGATGCACAAATTTTTGTCAAAGAGAGTATATTTTATATTTGTCATCAATCTGAGAGAGAAATTATCACAGTTAAGTAATTTAAAACCAAAGAAGGTGACTAATTTCAAAATTACTATCAATATTTTAGTATAAAACTCGGAGGTAATTAATATAAAAAATAATCATCTGTAAGAGTAGCTAAAATAAAATTTTCATCATAGATCAAGGAAGGATACATAAGAATTACAAATCCAAAGAATATTCAGCATATTCTTTGGATTTGTAATGGAACAAATAATGTCTTTCATTATAGTAAAATTTAAGTGTAAAAGTAAAAAATAAAATAACACCAAAATGTTTCCTTTACATCTTTAACATCAAGGATGACAGCATTTATTGAAGTTACAAAGAGACAAGAAGATTGATGTGAACATTTCTTTATAAAAAATTTAGAATAGTGTAGTAGTATGAACAGACATCAAATGTGGCAGAAGCAGAGAGAATAATGAATGTCAAAATGTTGTTTTTTAAAACATTCTGAAGTTCAAACAAACAAATTTTAATTTTACTTTTACTTTATGTCAATAGAGAGGGCTTAAGCACAAGTATCCTCCACAAATCTGCCCCTAGTTGCATCCACTTTCATACTGACATTGATTACCGATAAACTGTATTTACTATCGTAAATGTTTAAGAAGTAATAAGGAGAGACGGTGGTCTGTCGGCATCTTTTTGACTTTATTAAAGTCAAAAAGATTCCTGTTGCCTCTTATTATTATTTCTTATGCACCGTATGCCAAAAATTACCTAAGTTGTTTTTGGTAAATGTGATAAACAATAGAAATAGATTTTTCAATTATAAAATTTATAAAGCAATAAGAGCAGATTATAAATAAAATAGTTTGTAGCATAACTGGAGCCAAAGCCATGATTAAGACTCTGCTCCAAAAATCTAATATCTGTTGTTATTAAGTTAAAGAATGAAACATGAAATTGTAAACTAAGGCATAATTTAGGAGTTTGGTGTTAGGCTTAAAGAACACAAGTATAATATCAAGAAAGGATGCAACACTACAGTACTTATGTAAATCTCTATAGTGAAATAGGATGAAGCTGATATTGTTAAACCCTTGTGCTTCCCAGCATTAGCAATGAGTGCTGAGAAAATTGAAATTTATAGAAGCAAACTAGAGGATGCATGCATCAATGCAAGGGATGCCAAAGGTTTACCATCTGCATGGAAGGAAATGCATAATTAAAAAGTTTTCTATGAACTCCTAAATTATGCCATAATAGTTTTTTATTACTATTTATTTAAGGTATTATTACTGGAGTTTTATTATTATACATGTATAATTTTTTGTATTTATTTATGTAATTCTATTTTGGAACATCGATGTTCTAATCTCATTTAACCTGAAGATGGACTATTGAAAGAGCTGAAAACATAAGTTTAGTTTCAATAAATTATCTTGGCAACTTAATTAGTAGATCATCAAAATACACCTTGTTTGCTGAGTGCATTTTGGTAATTGGATTTGAGATGATAAATTAATTTGCTACAACTTCAATCAAAATAAACATAATTTTTATAAACAGAAAGTGAAATTACACACACACACACATAGACATTATATTGGGCATAAATCTAAACATGTCAGATTATTTTGGTTATATAATATGTATATATATACGTGTGTGTTTATTTTTAGGATTTGATACATTCAAAGAAGAATTAGGATCGTCCAGAGATGCTTCCTTAAGAAGAGAAGTTTCTCTCGACGTTTCTTACGACGAACAAGATTTGATAAAGGTGATCATTAATTATTGTTTGTTTTTAATTTGTATTTTAATTGAATATAACAAATAATATTATACAAATGTTTTATAAACAAGTTTTGTTTACAAAACTCATAAGTCAAAAACTTTTCTGATTTTGTAATCTTATAAACAAGTGCTAAATTACTAACGAATTGTTATTATTTATTCTTTTCAATTTATATGATATTTATTTGATTCTTGTTTAAAATTTTCTAAAAGCTCTGATGTACCAAAGCTCTATATTTTTTACGTTTTTGTAATCTTTATTATGATGGCAAACGTATTTGACTTCTTACAAATTGCAAAATTCAAACTTCCAGAACTGCTTAAATAATACAAATGAAGTCAGAAATTTATGCATTTCCACAATTTCTCAGCTTGTCTTCAGATCACTGTTACAAACATGGTCATAATATAACTTTTTTGTAATGATCTGACAAAACTGTTGAATTCAATATAAAATATAACAATTTTTATTAGAATATTTTGCTGTTGTAGTTAGTACAGCATGAACAAGAACATTTCCATAAAGCTAATTTAATTATGTTCATGATATCTTGTCATAATTGGGCTTGGTTCCATCCATTAGTACAAAGATTCTAAATTAATTAGCCGCACAATTTTAGCATTTATATTGAGATTACGGGATGATCTCAAATTTATATTGTTTATAACCACTTAGAATTGCAATAATTATCGACAAGGTCTCATTGAGAAAGATGTTTTATTTAATAACATACTTCTCTTTGTGCACCTTGCTTTGTTTCACCATAATTGTTATTGATAACTATCACTCATTAAGTATAAATTAATATAGAGTGTTATTACATGGCACATATCCTATATAGCAGGCCTGGCCAGCCCAAATTGTTTCGTGGGCCACAATTTAGGCAAACATGCTTTTAAAAAAGTAAAACAAATACAAAATGAATAAGATTTCATTGTTATACCAAGAGTTTGTACTCTCCCTTGCACATTATAACAATGACACATGCAAATTTTCATTTATTTAATTATTTTTGTATATATGTTATGGACAAAGTGATAAATCAGGCATTATTCATGATGACAGGCATTATGAATAATGACCAAATAGGGCGCGCAGTGTGATAAATATTGATTCATTTATCAAATTGACCAGTCATTATGAATACTGCTATCACCTAGTCGGGCAAAGTGATGATAATAAGTTGAGGAGTGATCATCCGACATATGCTAGCCGATCGGCGCACTGAGTTGCGTGTGCATATCGTGTTTAGTACAGAATTTTAAATTTGATTTAAAAAACTCTATTTATTTCATTTAGAAATATTTATGTTTTGTAAATTATATCAAAATATTATTAACAATTTTTGGTATAAATTATATAAAAAATTAAATGTTTTTTAGTTTATTTATTTGAGCAATTAAGATTTTCATGACATTTGGAATTATGTAATTTTTTTTTCTTTGTAGCATTTGCATCTATTAGATTTGCAACCAATTTTGCAGCAGCATCGACTATAGCCTTGGCTTCCAGAAATTAATGACATTCTTGCACATTCTCTAAGCAAAATTTCTGCACCCGGTACATCTCTAATAGAAATAAGTTTTCTTTACAAACAGTAAATTAGTTTCTGGAATATAATAGATTTAATATACCATATTTGGTACCCAGTTTGTAAAGGTTTTTATCTTTAAACGCAACAACAACACCTAAAATATTTTTTCCATCACTGTGGGCTAGATCTGCATCAGGTACACGAATCCTTACTGTATCACCAACATTAGCTGCTGTGTATTGGAATTTGATGTATTAATCATTTTTTCTGCTTGCTTTTTAAGATTAAACAAAGCCATCTCACTTGTTTTAGACACACTTATTTTTTCTTCTATTTTTGGATAAATTGTTTGGATTGTTTCTTCTTCATTCACCAATTCTGTAATACTAATAACATCTCCACAACACCGTGTTATAGTAAAATTAAACAACTACAAATCTTTACGGTGCGATATTAAATAAAATTATCAAGAAAAAGTTCCCACAAACGTTTTCGAACCGATTTAAGGTTCTTCATCAGGTGAAAAAAACGTAAATATGTAAAAAATCATTCGATGGAATACAAAATTTGAAAGAGATTCGATTAACGAAATCAATGAATCCTGCAGCTGTCGTCATCAACAGGCATGCGCATTTTACTGATGTAAAAGTTTTTTATTTATGTAGAACTTTTTCTGTCGTATATAAGCGTTTGCCACGCTGGGGATAGAGACAATTCATCCTTATTGTTAATACACTTGTTGTCATGGGCCGCTTTATATATACAAATTGCTTCGATCCATCTCAGATGCTCGGTATGAGGTGTGGTGTGGATGATCCTGGCTTCGTTAAATCTTGGATGGATGTCTGGATCTGTAGCATTACGAGCCAGTGCAGTAGTTACTCTTTTGTGCTGTATGTCAGCCTTGTGCTCCTTTATTCTGACACCTAACGAGTGCTTAGTGGAGCCAATGTATAATAATTCTTCATTACACCTATGATCATTCAATGGGATGACATATACTCCCGATAGCATGTCATTGTTGGGAGCATCCTTAGCATTACGGAGAATATTAAATACAGTAGGACATCTCCTGTATGCGATGTTGATGTGTTTCTTTTTGGCAATCTCGGAGTACAGCTTTTGTAAACACGGGCTGTAAGTGACAGGAACTCTGTCTTTAGGATCTGGTCTTTCTTCTTCCTGCAATATAGCTTGTGCAGATACTTGTGGATGATGTAGTTTCCTGGATAAGTTATTTATAAGGTTATTATAACCTTATAAATAACTTATAAACCTAAAGACAGAGTTCCTGTCACTTACAACCCATGACAACAAGTGTATTAACAATAAGGATGAATTGTCTCTATCCCTAGCGTGGCAAACGCTTATATACGACAGAAAAAATTCTACATAAATAAAAAACTTTTACATTGGTAAAATGCGCATGCCTGTTGATGATGACAGCTGCAGGATTCATTGATTTCGTTAATCGAATCTCTTTCAAATTTTGTATTCCATCGAATGATTTTTTACGTATTTACGTTTTTTTCACCTGATGAAGAACCTTAAATCGGTTCGAAAACATTTGTGGGAACTTTTCTTGATAATTTTATTTAATATCGCACCGTAAAGGTTTGTAGTTGTTTAATTTTACTAATAACATCCTGGTTTAGATTTTTTTCACGTGAAGATGATGTAGATCTTTGAACTTCATCAGTTATATTGCTATGTAAGGGTGGCATTATCAAATAATCTTTCATAATGTTTTCTTGGACGGTACCTGGACTTTCAGAGTTTGAGCAACTTTGACTTACTTTGTCGATAGTTTTAAAAAGTCTCTCTAGATACTCTTCCGTATTAATGTTGATCAATGATTCGTTGGGTATAAAATGCTTTAGTCCAACTTTTAACTTTGCTCCAAACATGGCCTCATAGGGGCTGCAGTTTATACCAGCATGATGCACTCGATTTTTCATCAGTTATACAAAATGTAATCCTTCCGACCATTTGTTAGTATTGTTAGTCTCAACCAAGAAGTAAGCATATTTTCTACGTCTTGATTACATCTTTCTACTGAACCCTGACTTTGTGAGTGCCTGGGCTTTTCATGAACCATTTTTAACTCGGACCACACATTACACATTTCTTTGATGACATTATTGGCAAATTCTCTGCTGTTATCGCTTTGTAGAATACTCGGTGCACTGAAAATTGTAAAAATGTCTAAAAGAACATATGCTACTTCTTCAGCCTTTTTGGTTTTTAATGGTCGTAGTTGAATGAATTTAGTTATATAATTTTGATACACGAGTATAAATTTATATTCCTCGTCATCATGCGACTACATATCTATAAGATCGACCTGACATCTCAAGTTCATTTTATTACATAAAATTGGTTTAACTACCAAGCCTTTCTTAGGAACATTCTTTTTTTTCTGACAGATTTCACACAAGTTCAAATAAATTATGATCATTTCCCTTGTAATATTTTTATATTTCGTACTTAATTCTTTTTCCATACGGTTTCTACCACCACTTCCAATAGCAATATGAGCATCGTGCAATATCTGAAATATTTCTTCCGTGTTAACGTAATATTTAATCGCATTACCTTCTTTTATAAGCATAATTAATTTTTCTAAATTTCCAATAGATACAACGTCATATCTACGCAAACGCTGATATTTTCCCGGTAACTTAGAAGTAACTTTCATTTTTGACTCTCACTTTTTGTATCATTGACAAATATGCTGATTTTGTAAAAATTTGATTGTTCTTACCTTTTTCTGCTATTAACTCGTTTAATCAGTTGTTGAAGCGATTATTCATATCGCTTAATGATTCCTCCATGATCGTTACTTTTGTCAAAGAAGAAAGATTAACTACTGGTCACATAAATTTAAAATTCGGTACTAAATGCAATATGCATTCGCAAGTAAGATGTAAGTTCTGATTGGCTAACGTATGTCAGATGATCACTCCTCAACGTATTATTATCACTTTGCCGGACTAGGTGGTAGCAGTATTCATAATGACCGGTCAATTTGATAAATTATTGAAATTTATTACAATGCCCGATTTTGTTGGTCATTATTCATAATGNTGTCAGATGATCACTCCTCAACGTATTATTATCACTTTGCCGGACTAGGTGGTAGCAGTATTCATAATGACCGGTCAATTTGATAAATTATTGAAATTTATTACAATGCCCGATTTTGTTGGTCATTATTCATAATGCCCGGGCATTATGAATAATGCCCGTATTAATCACTTTGTCCATAACATATACATAATGGGAAACAAAAGTTTTAATAGATATATAATATTGCTTAGCGGGCCACACAATTTAACGTGAAGGGCATCCTGTGGATTGGCCAGGCCTGCTATATAGCTTGAATTAAATCATTGTTTAACTTTAATATGTTAAAAACACTACAACAATGTGCATATCATTAATAACTCTT